ACTCCACACGGTTCATTCACAGGAAAAATGTCATGGACGCTGAACATCCGATGCAAGCGCGCTGGCGACTTCAGACTGGATGTGCCGAATTCGGAATCAGTCTCGGGCATTAAGTGTAGGATCCAGTGCGAAAAACGAATCCCCGTGGAGAAACAAACCTTGACATTTGATGGATTAATTCTTGAGGATTCGCACAAGCTGAAAGACTACGGCATTAAGAATCGTTCTACTATTTTCCTCTGCCTTCCCTTGGACTTTGCGAAGGATATATATCTTAGTGTAACTTTGTCGTCTGGACGCGTGGTGAGGCTTTGGGTCAATGAAAAGGACACCGCGGACGTCCTGAAAGAACAGCTGGGGCGTCTGTGTGGATTGGCTGCCCAAAGTTATGAGTTGGTTTTGGACGGAGCACTGTTGAGAGCAAGTCAAACTTTGGCATCGTGTGGACTGAAGGATGACAGCATGCTCACTGCTATGCGTTATGTGTCAACAGAGTCCGAAAACAAGTTAAATGCTTACCAGATATTCGTTAGGACCCCAACGGGAAAAACAATTACGCTCAGCGTCTACCCGACAGATACCATAGATAATGTGAAGTGTCGTCTCCAAGATAAGGAGGGCATTCCACCTGACCAACAACGCTTGTTTTTTGCGGGCAAGGAGTTGAATTACGGACACACATTGATGGATTACAAGATTCAAAAAGAATCTACACTTCACGTTGTGCTGAAATTGAGAGGCGGATAGAATGAAGTCAAACGTAGGACACAATATTTCCGACCAAACTGCTGTACATTTCCTCATCGCTGTTTACGGTGGTTTCCACACCACGTTCTCGATTCTACAAAGTGAAGTTTGTATTGTCAGTGGTCTGTGTATTTGAATACGGGAATAACATAAACTTCTCCTGTCGGCATCCTGTTAGTTCCTTCTCTGACGCGGTTGGGTGGTCATCTTCTGAATGGATTTCGAGCAGATATAAAGTGGACGATTATAAAGTAAATGTGGTGCAAATGTTTAAATCATCGTACTTGATGAAATGACCCTGATGCGTAAAAATGATATAAATGTGATATAGCGACAGGCACAACATGCTCAGCTAATCAGCAACCTTTTATCTAAATCCCGAACGCAGCCCTAACCTAAAGCTAAATCTGAAATCTAGTCCTTACCATTTGTTCACCCGCATGCTAAGGTCTCTGAGTCCTCGAAAGTTAACGGGATGTAACTACTCGAAAAACATAAGCAGGCAGGTAAACGATGTAAACATAGCCAACATTGGTGGCTAATGTTACACTTTACGGCCACACAAGTCATGAATTACGTTACAAACGAAGATGGAGAAGCAAGCGTTGGCATTATTTAGCACAGAGGAATGGAGCTAACGTGGTCACTCGTTATGGGTCAACAAATCGGAGTGATTAATTGCATGCAACAACTTGTAGTTTTTGGCAGAGGGAGATTACCGATAAAGAGGGGTGAAGCTTCAGTTGTCATCTCTGGATTATTAGTTGCCATCAAGTAGCCATACCCAATCTCAGGGATGAGGGCATCTGAGCTTCGATTTCGCATTCTTTGGTCATCTTTGATCCTGCGGCACAATCTGTGGACGGGCATCCAACATAGCTAATATTCCCGATTGAAAAGAGCGAGGCCTATATCACGTGGCTCTGTTTGCAGAATGTTGGGCTTACCAAAGAACACGGGTTCGAAATTCAGATGTCCCCAAACCCTGCATTTCGTAGGGCATAGTTGACTGCCAAAGTCATAAAAGTCAGAAATGGCCGTCTCAGTAACCATTGCATTTGTCTGCAAGGTACCTTGGATGTAAATAAATAAAATAGGTCAAAAGCTTGTTAAGGCTAAGTTAAATAGTAGAGTTCGTCCACCTACGCTAGACTTGATCGCATCCATACGAGCGACGGTTCCTAAACTTACAGAATATCTACATACAAGCGAATCCAAATATTGCTGATCACCTAAGAGAGACTAGTATAATCTGGCAATTCGACAACGTGGAAACGCGAAGAACATTGAAAGGACAGTTTTGAATTGTTTTTGAGCAAATAGCACCCTGGGGCAACGTAACGGCTACTGCGTCGTCAATTTTGCACCAGAGAAACCTCAGCATAAAATGACATATTTTTCCACTCTGATGGCTTAATAACGATCAGATATGTAGCTCTTCGCTATTACTATTAATATTACAAATGATGTCTACTTATTTTACTTTCGCCGACGGCTTAAGCTAGGGCTACGGTCTGGGCGTATGCTAGTGGTAGTTATAGAGGTAGGTTTGGGATTGTTTTACGTTAAGGTTTTACTGTTATGCTTGTCTGCCGCATACCGTCTTAACCAATCCGGAGGCCACTAATCCATAACGGCAGATTTTACTTTATCTGCCCGTATACGCCTTCCAAATTCACATCATTTAAATCGCGCGGTCTGTTTCTGTACCCCAGTTAAGTAATAAAACAAAATATTGACATTTCAATGCTTTCCGCGGATTCTACGAAATATCACCTCAATATTTGCCGAGTGCAGAACTCCCACTTGCAATGGTAGGGGTCGCTCACCGATCGTTTATACGGAACTCACTCGTTCCGTTGGGCCTTAAGGGCTCTCTCTCTCGAGCCCAACCAGCAGCCGCACAGCGGCGCATGATATATAGGCAGAATGGTATTACCGACAAAGACAAGGGAGACTGGAATGGCCATTTCTGGCTTATTAGCCGTCGTCAGCCACCCAGACCCAAGCCCGAAGTGTGGAACACCCGAGCCTCGAACTCTCGACCTGTTGGTTTAGAAGTCCACGCCTCTACTCACCGTGGCCCGGGCTTGGGTATGACTGGCTGACGACGGCTAATAAGCCAGAAATGGCCATTCCAGTCTCCCTTGTCTTTGTCGGTAATACCATACTCCCACTTGCACTTATCCCGTTAGACAGGATTCACTGTGTCCAGCCTTCTCCGCGCGGCCGCAAACCTCATACTTGGCCATGACCAGTTTGTTTTCTGTGACGAATATATTCCGCTGTCGTCCGCCCTCCGCTACAGACAACAGAGGACATTAGAACCGAGTAAACTTGATCAGTATACATAAAATGACATTTTACACCCCGATGTCTTGATAGGGATCAAATATATAGCCCCTCGTCTTTATTACTATAGGATGTCTACTCATTTCACTTACGCCGACGGCTTACGTAAGGGTTACGGTATTCGAATGCATGTGGTTGCTTCGTCGTGGACAGTCTGAAAGAACAGTTGTGGCGTCTGTGTCGATTGACTGCGCAAAGCTATGAATTGGTTCTAGGTGACAAATTGTTGAGAAAAAGTTAAACTCTGGCATCGTGGGGACTGACGAATGAATCCATGTTCAGGCTTATGCTTTATGTGTCGATGGATCGAGAGAACAACTCGAATGCTTTACAAATATTTGTGATGAACTTAAGAAGGAAAGCAATTTTTCTCAAAAGCCATTCGTCAGATACAATATGTATTCCGCAGATTCTTCTGCAATCAATGGAGGGCGTCCAAGTTGAACAGGAGCGCTTAATGTTTACAGGCAAGCAGTTGGAAGGTGACTGTATATTTCGGACTATAGTATGAAAAGATTCAAAGATTCACCTTGTTTGAACACTTAGATGTGGGTAGAAACAAGTTAAATTTTGTCCGAAGTATCACCGATCAAATCACTGCACTCTTTCGCGTTGTATTTCGAAAAGTGCACGTAATTGCTTCCCATTCAAGCTCTTGAGTCAATAAAATGAATTCTGCACCGTCAAGAGTTCAGCAACATGTGATTCTCACAATTAAATTATGACTCACCGGCTCCACTACCGACGAACGACCAAATAGGCCCTTCGAGAATTCAAACCCACATCTCGCTTCTTCTTCTTCTTCTTCTTCTTCTTCTTCTTCTCCCTCCCTCCCTCCTAACTGACCTATCCCCTCGTCTTCGAGTTACTAAATCTCGAATTTTTGACGTTAATTTCGGACAACGGGTTGAAATGGAAAATAACGTGACAAATGTGATTTGTATTTGTACTAAATGAAATAATCTTTTTAAGATAAAAAAAATGATATAACAACGCGGAGGATATGGTAAGCCCATCTGTCGACCATTTACAAAAGCCTAAACGCAACTTTAGCACAAAACTGACTTTGGAATCCCCTCCATGCCCAAAATAACCCCGAGCCTATGTTAGATCAAATCTCTATTCGAGGCTATCGACATGATGTCCGTCCATATGGTGAGGCCACTTCACCCCTGACAGTTGACGACATGTCAACTACTCAAAAAACATCAGCAGCCCCAGAGGAGGAGGTGGTGGTGGCCAAAAGTGCATTTCACCACCAGCCAAGTTAGGAATTACTTTGAAATCTAGAAGAAGGAAAGGCAAGCATTGACATCGTTTGTACTAAGGAGGGCATACACCATCGTCATTTTTGCCGATAGCCGTTTTGCTGTTTGCGACAAATATATTCCGCTGCTGTTCGCCCTCCGCTACAGACAAGAGAAGACAGTGGGATCGTGCAAGTTTAACGAATGCTGGGGTTGTTAATTAGAGTAGACATATGATGGCTGGGCCACTGCGGCATATAAATACCGCCCGTCATGTGCCTCTATCCCCCTATATTCGTGACAGTCTCTAATAATGTGCCTGAATAAGAGTCCGAAACGTCAGGCCAATAAGCCTCACGGTTCAACGACCACATATCCGGTTTCTGAACTGCTTCCTGAAACTTGTCTCTTCGCGTCTCCCGGTATTCTTACTTACTTTGACAGTACATTATTTCTTTCAATTAGCATTCATGTCATGCAGTGACTAGTTATATGTGATAAAATGCAGTGAAACATCTTTACATCGGTAAGTCTTTCCTGTTGCAGAATCTCGGAGGCAAGTTTTGGCGACATTTTGGCAGCTCCGCTCACCACGGATCTCCAGTCTGTAGGAAAGCGCTCCGACCCAAACAAATTCGGGCTGTTTGCACACTGGATTGGAAGGGTTTGGCGACCGTCTGTATAGCGGCTGGTCCAAGCAGTAGGTCCATTGCGCTTAAGGGAGAGCCAACGCCTGAGCCGAGGGTCATGGATACAAAACTGATTGACCGACATCTCAATAATCGCCGACGTCATGTAACGAGTGTAATTGGCAGTCCTTGAGTCTAGTGCTGTCTTGGAGAAGTTCAGGCCAGTTCAGGGCCTGTCGGCAACTCTCTTGATGCAGTCTGTGTGTGCCAGTGAATGACTGCACTTTCGATTGAAAGCGCTCATGTACCTTCTGTTAGAAAGCCGCTCTTTGTTGGTTTATGGATTGGAGAGTGAGGGTTGATAAAGTTTATTGGCCTAGGTATCCAAACAGGGGTCCCTAGAACGGACCACAAGAGATATGCGCTTGATTAAAACACGGGACAGGGGATGCGTTTTCTGGGATGCCCAGAGGCCACGCACCCCCTAACACATGTCGCACGTGAGGTCTAGCCGCAGATTCATCAGCCGCATCAGCTACTTTCACTCACACAGCATCAGCTGGCCGACCGGTTCGGACGGCGGACTGGTGCATGAGGGCGGGATGTGAGAGTGATGTAGACTGTCTCCTCGAATTACTAGCCACCTTCCTTCTCTCTGAAGTCCACTTCCGACAAGCTCAACCTTTGAGAATTTCGTCAACTGGACTACACCTTGCAGTTCATCTAAGACGTCGGCCACGACAGCGGGTCACGCAGTGAGGCGTCTGAGGCA